TCATACAACATTCTAACCAAACTCAAGTACAAACAATGCAATGCCATGAAATGTGAATGCATGCCGATGTCGCTCCCCGTTTTCACATTTAAAATCCATCACTTTCAAACTGTTAATATAACCCGCCCTTTGGTGACCCCGCAGTGACACGAGAGGAGGATTGGCTAATGTCCCTGACCCTTGGTACCCCCGCGGCATCATTATGGGGCCCAGCTAGCTCAACCACGCCAAGGCGACTCCCTAGTCCCCTCTAGGCTATATTAACACTCAGGCCCTTTGGTACCCCCGCGGCGACCGGGTTTTCCAAAAACACTTTCATCAAAATACTTTTTCCCAAAACTCCCTATTTTCATTTCAAAAACAATCTTCCCAATCATGTCTCATGGTATGCATGTACATCATGTTCTTAATGCCATGGAAGTGAAGGCTTTCACATTATACAATTGTACATACATTACAAGTACTCTAGGGAAATTACACATGCCATCCCATATCATTCTAGTAAGTTCTACAATAATATAAGCATGGTAAATCAATTTATCAGACAAGGAAATTAGTCAAATAAACATGTTCTCATACAACTCAAGTAACACATTCAATCATAACCTCACATATAACACTTACATCATCTTTAATACAATTAATTCAAAAATAAACATGCTTTTCAACAATTTAGGAGGTATAATTAACAAAAGAGTAAGAACATCATGAGTTAAGAGCCCCTACCTCAAGATTGCACAAAACCCTTAAAATGGGTCTCTAAATTCGAAGGCCAAGGGGAGACCAAAAGCTGAAATTGATGGTACAACCGCGTAAACCTCGTCGTGCTCTTCGAAGAGCCGCAAACGGCTTCCAAGTATTCCAATTGATGAGAAGAAACCAAGCTTGTAAATGATGGTAAAAGAAAAGAAAAAGGGAACTGAGAGGATAAAGCGAGAGAACGTAATTGAGAAGAGAGAAAATGAGAGTCTGATATGTGAATTAAGTCATTTGTAATGACTTTGGTACAGGTGGGTCCCATTATCATATAAAAATATCTCATTTGCTCCCCACTATGTTGGCTGCCATCTCCTCATGATCAGACAAGAGATATATATATATATATATATATCATATGTATTTATAAAATTTAACTAAACCAAATCCCATTAATATTTTTTTTGTGGGTCCCGCGGCAACACATTACCAATCTCTCTTATTCTTCTTCACTCAATTCTCACGGCTGGCACTTGGTAGCAAGCTTCTCAGCTCCATTTGATATCATATATATATATATATATATATATATATATATATATATATATATATATATATATATATACATAACAAAACTAAATTATCCCATTAAACATCACAAGTGGGTAAAATCTGCAACCACAATTAGATAATTAATTATGGTAACCAAAAATATAATGAAATGAATTAAAATCTTAGAAAATTGGGTTGTCACAGGCAAGTAGTTAGTCTAATGCAACCTAAGAATGCTAGGACTGGTCCACATCTATCCCCTTAAATGCATTATAAAATATTGGAGATTCAACGACGACCTTTGAGGATGATGGTTTGATAATCATTTTACCTTTTGAGCGAACAATACATGAATAATTCCTTGACAAAATGTGGTTTCCCATGTAATATATTTAATCATTATAGACCCAAGATGACTAAAATAATCATGCTGAATCTCTATGGGTCATGGCACTTCTGTTGCGTCATAGCATTTCTGGTGCCTGAATTTCTGGTGTGTCATAGCACTTCTCTTTGGGTTATGGCACTTCTGTTGCGTCAAAAATTTTCATTGAGCCTACAACCTCATCTGCTTTCACACTAGACAAATCCCAATATACAGTGATAGTTTATACCCTTATCTGAAATCTTTTAGGTAATGACCTCAAGATTTTTTCACAAATTTTCTTATCACTAACTCATTTGCTTAAGTGGCGAAGTTCAGAAATAATTTCAAGAAGACTAGAATAGAAATCAGAAAAAGTTTCATCTTCTTTCATCGCAATGTTCTCAAACTTCTAAGAAAGCATTTGAATTTTGGATAGCTTCACTTTCGAAGTCCCTTCATGAGTAACGTGCAAAATATCCCAAGCATCTTTAGTAGTTTTACAATCAGAAATTCTAACATATTCAGATAGAACAACATAATTAATAATTGCATATAAAGCTTTTCCATTAGCATCATTACGCCTAGTTTCAAGTGCAGTGCAGGTAAAAATATATTTTAAAATATGAACTACTTTACCATCCACAATCTTTTCCTCAGTAGGAGGTGTATAACCTGACTCAACAACATCCCAGACTTTACCTCCTAAATTTTGCAAATAAGCTCCCATCTTTGATTTTCAAAAATTATAATTGTCTCCTTTGAATAAAGGACCACGTTGATTAAATTCTTCTTCTCTAAAAAAAAAAAGATATTATGAAGGAATTTTTGAAAACAAGCAAAAAATTTCACTAGGATTAACTCAATGTGTAGAGATTGGCTCCAATACCAAATGTGAGTTGTGCAGCGAAAGATAATTGTGGAAAGTTTAAGTTTTTAAATAGAAAAGATAAAATCCATGTCTTTCTATTTTAATTAGCTTTACTTAAATTAGTAATTAATTAATTAATCACATGTAAGATAAAAGCAAAGTAAATGGAGTTTGAGAGATAACACCGAGATTTTAGCGAGGAAACCCCAGTTGATAGAATATACCAATTGTTGTGGAAAAAACCTCGTGGATTATACAGTCCAGAGCAAAACGATCCACTATATTGAAACAAATTCACTAAATTTTGACTCAGGCTCACACCCTATCATTCTACCAAAAACCAATTGCTGACAATCATCTGGTTTTGCGACGTCCCGTCCAACAACTCTTGACTCCAGGCTTACTCTTGATCTCCGTAGAAGGATTACTGGTAGATTACACAACACTCCTCAAAGGTTTTGACCATTCCAAAGTGTGGTCGCTTCACCCCTTTTCTTCAAGATCTGAATTTAATGTAGAAGAAATAGATCTACTTCTCTGATTGTTGTCAATGCAATATTCAATAAACTTTGAACACGATCAGGAATTGAACAACACCCTAAAATCACTCTTGTATTTATGTGTGTGTTTTCAAGAAATAAAAACAGAAAAATCAAATTTGATTTTCGGCAAAATCTCTCAAATAAGCTTTTAAAGAATCAGAAGTATTAATGCAAAAATCGTATCAACCTAGATGTAAAACAAGGTTTATATAGACTTTCAAAGACCTAGATATGCATAAGAAAGAAGTAAATTTTGTGCATAGGACTTTTGGAAAGAAATCCATATCAAATAGGAAGTTTAGATTGAACAGAAAACTGATACCTAATCTGCAAGAGTATTCTAAACCAGTAGCCACTCTTGGAACAGGTTCAGAGTGTTCAAAGCAGTGGTTCTTGAACCAGTAGGACATGTTGGTACCGGTTCCCAAATGACAAATTCGAATGGGCAGGGTCCTAACCTTTAACTCAACTTTCTAAAGTGTTGTTCATATCTTTTTTATAGATATCAGTTTATCAAATACGAACAACTCGTCAATTTTGTAGCCGATTTCGATCTTGATTTTGAAACTTCAAAATACAACTCGATCGGACTTATTTTAACATCAAAATTAACCAATTACAAAATATAAATTATAGCTTTTTTCATATAGTTAGAATAATTTCTTTTCGTTTAATCGTCTTCGCTATGTAAGCTTTTGTAGAGAAGACTATTGGTTATAATTTTCCAAGCTAATCATTTGTTAAAGTCTGAGCAAGGAATTGTTTACAGCATTTGGCCTGAGACATGCAACTATTACTTTCTTCTTCCTTAGATTTCAGCCTTAGTTTGTCACGCTTAAGATTCCTAAAATTCACACGGTGTTAGCATCTAGGGTTTTGCTTTTTGGAACTATGTGGCTAAACATAAATTTTAAGGAAAGTAATAGGCCATGCTGTTAAACAATGTTTTTTTTTTTTTTTTTTTTTTTTATAAAGAAAATAAACTAAATTTCCTCCGATTCCAATTCCTTGATGGCAATTTGGCGCTCCCAAACTTAGCTTTAATTCTTTTACACATTTCTATCTGAATGAAAATAAACTATATTGCAAGTATCATGTAACAAAGTCAAACATTAGAGCTTAAGGAATAATAAGAACCTGAACTTAGAGCTAGAATGAATGTAACAAGAAAAATGTGTAAATTCTCCAACCTAGAATGAGGAGTAGTAAGAAGCTAAATGTTGAAGCAATGTAACAAAATTCACTTTCCATAAGTTGTTTTTCTATCTGAATCATTCAAATCCTACGTTTCTATGTAAATTATATACATATGTGTGTGTTTCTATGTAAATTATATACATATGTATGCGAAGAGGATGAGGAGTCAGCAGCAGTAGCAGTTGAAACCGATGAAGATGAGGACAAAACCAAAAAAATGAACATATTACTCAAACACAATTAGATTTCCCCAATCTATTCAAATAACCAAAGGCATAAGCTTAATTCAAATAACCAAAGGCATAAGCTTAATTTCCCCAATCTATTTCTCAAACACAATTAGATAAAATAACAGAGTCTGAACCGAAAGACTAGAAGCAGTGGTGGTCATATCTAATAAAATGAACATATTACTACCAAAAGTTCACACTTCTTTGAAAATCTTATACTAATCTACGCAAATTCAAGAAACTGTAGCGGTCATAGTTAATAAGATGAGCTTATTTCATCTACTCTCTATCCATCCAGCTTTTCAAAGATAAAATTACAATGGCTATATTAGTTCTTGTCATTGAAAAATTGTTACAGCTCTATCTGTGCACATCATTCAGTTTACAAATTGAGAATTAAAAAACCTAATTTTTTTGCTACTGATATCCATCTTTGATAGGGGATAAAAAAGGGTACAACAAGTCCACAATAGATTTGATAGTCCAATAATATTGTATTTTATATGTTGTTAAATTGGAGAATTTGGAGTGCCATCGACATCTTGGAGAATTTAAAAAATAATAATAATAATACTAATCTGACAGAGTGTCTTGTTAAAAAGTACTGTAACAAACATTCAACTGAAAGGAAGTGAAGCCTACAAATAATAACTCTGGTGGAGTCACATGTCATACAAATATCACTAACTATATTAGGAAGGCCTCTGATACATCTGAGGAATCACCAAGAATAGTGATAAAGTATGCAAAAGGCTTATTTGTAAAATATCTCCAACAAAACATGAAGAGTTATTCTCTAACTGAGTACACCATTCTGAAACTTAGCTAGATCAGTGGCTTCATTGAATTCCTCGTTACGCTCTCATGAAACGAGATTTTGATCTTCTTGAGCCTGGCTAAGACATAATTCATGTGAACCCTCTCCTCAGGTAAGTCTGCGGTGCATTCTAGAGCTAATCCTAAGAGGGATGACAGGCAATTATTTGTAGCAGCAAAATATTCTTCCTCTTCTCTTAGTAAATTAGCATCTGCAACCTCCAGTATTTCATTAGGGAAAGACTCCCAAACCCAATGCATCAAACTCAGTTCCCCTTGAAATAGATCCTCTGTGGGCTTCTTCCTTGTAAATGTTTCCATCAACAAAATTCCATAACTGTAAACATCCGCCATAGGAGATACTATCCCGGCCGAACCATACTCTGAAACATTAGTATTATAAGTAAATTTTAATAAAAAAGAAACAGTATTAGGTAGAATACTGGAATAAACTTCCCAAAAAACATAGGAAGTGCTCAAACAAAACAGTGGGTCTTGAGATTTAGAAGCATACTATATGTTAAATTCCACTTACTGACCTTTATGCTTCTTCCCTTTCCTTTTCCCACTAAAAAATATTAATAGCATAGGGCGAAAACCAATAATTTACCATAGATGGAGAAAAAATGAGAAAATGTACTCAAGTCCCATGTCAGTTAATTTACTATTTGCGAAAACCAAATCGAAAAGAAAAGGAAGAACAAAAATTTATGTTGCATATTATTTCTTTACTTCTCTATTTACCAAGACATTGATATGGAGTAAAAATGTCCCAATGGTGTAGAAGGAACATACCTGGTGCCATATACCCAATGGTGCCTAGTGTCTTTGTTTGTGCCATTGACTTGTTCTCCATCAAGAGCTTTGCTATACCAAAATCACTTACGTGTGCAACCATGTCTTCATCTAACAGAATGTTGCTTGGCTTCAAGTCACAATGCACCACTGGGGTTGAACAACTGTGATGGAGATACTCTACTGCAGATGCAACATCTATCATGATGCACAACCTTTGGACAATATCCAAGCAATAGTTGTGAGAGTACAACCACCTGTCAAGGTTCCCATTTGGCATATATTGTAGCACCAAGGCTTTGAAATCAAGGTTGGAGCAACTGCTGATTATTTTGACAAGATTTCGGTGACGAATGTTGCGCAGTACTTCACACTCTGCATCGAAACTCTTGAATGCACCTTGTTGCTCTAAATTGAAAACCTTGACAGCAGCAACCATCCCATCAGCGAATATCCCTTTGTATACCGAACCAAGGCCTCCCTTTCCAATCAAATTTTCTTCACACAAGTAGTTTGTTGAACAAAGAATCTCTTGGTGTGATATCCTTCTATGTGTTACACCAGGTGGTAAATCACATTGGATTGGAAGTTGCCTGCTTTTGTTTTTGCATCTTAGCAATCCAACTAGAAAAGCCACTACAATTACCAATGAGGCAATTGGTGGTACAACATATTTCAGAAGAATTTCTGTCTTCCGTGATTTTTTGGGGCTTTTACATTTTCTGACATGGAACTGAGGTGCTCCACATAGTGCATCATTCTGCATGAAAGATTCATACGTGAAATTTGCAAAAGATCCTCCACTTGGAATTTCTCCGCTTAATCTATTGAATGAAACATTTATGTACTTAAGATACAAAAGTTTCTCCAATGACTTGGGGATTGCACCAAAAAAATTGTTCAGCGATAGATCTAAGGATTCCAAACTTATCAAATCAGAAAATGATTGGGGTATAGGACCCTGTAGTCTGTTTTTTGACAAGGAGAAGTTGGCCAGGCTCTGAAGTTGCCCAATTGTGTTTGGAATTTTACCTGTGAACTGATTCTTTGATAGATCCAACAGCGTAACATGTTTCAAATTGCCAATTTCTGGAGGTAGAGAACCACTTAGAATATTAGAAGACAAGTTCAGAACAATGATATCCTTAAGGTTCCACATAGTCAATGGAATTTCAGAAGTTAAGGCATTGGTATCTAAAAAGAGTTTTCTCAATGAAGTAAGGTTCCCAAAGCAGCTCGGAATTGATCCAGAAAATTTATTTCCATACAACTTTAACTCACTCAAGCTTTTTAAAGCACATAGTCTGCTTGTAATCGTTCCTTGCAATTTAGTACCAGCAATTTCCAAAAACTGGAGTTTCAGAAGCTGTCCAAATTTTTCTGGGATTGACCCTGTCAGGTCATTATCTCCTAAAGCCAATCTAATCAAGTTGCTCAAATTTCCAATTTCTGTAGGAATTACTCCTTTTATTTGGCAGGCAGTTGCAACAATTTCTTCAAGAGAGTTGGAGAAATTTCCTATCGATTTTGGAATAATACCATTCAGAGGATTATATTGTAAGGCCAATGATTTCAAATGCCTGCAATTGGTTAATGAAGTGATAAAACTTAGCTCAATTGCCGATGGATCGTTCGTTAACTGATTCATTTCTAAATTGAGAAATTGGAGGTGGCCTAAATTCCCGAGAGTCGTGGGAACGCTACCAATGAACAAGTTACTGGATAGATCGATCTCAACTAGTTGGGTGGCATTTGAGATTGAGTTGGGAATTATTCCACTGACTTGGTTCTCAGCAAGATAAAGAGTACCAAGATTTGGAAGCCAAAAGAAAGTACTTGATGGAAGAGTTCCTGAAAGGTGATTACTTGTGAGGGAAATGTATTCTAATGTACTTAGGTTGAAGAGTGACAATGGTATTTCACCCATAAGGTAGTTAGAAAAAAGGCTTAAACTTATCAAATTTGAGAGATGCCCTAATTGCCAAGGAATCATACCATGAAAATTGTTTTCACTCAAATCGATATCCTCTAACATGGACATATTACCAATTGAAAGTGGAATTTCACCTTTCAAGTTATTTCTACCAAGATATAAAAGTTGAAGTGCAGACAACCTTACAATGTCAATTGGCATGCTTCCTGTGAAATTATTGATCGATAGATCAAGTTCCTTAAGTGCCTTGCAATGGGACAGTCCAGAAGAGATATCGCCAGTGAGTCGGTTCGAAGAAAGATAAATGACTTCAAGCCTTGGATTTCGGCGACATAGACCCTTGGGCAGAACACCAGAGACTTTATTGTAGGAGAGATCAAATTCCACAAGTGAGGAGATGTTGAAGATTGTATCAGGTAATTCACCTGCAAGAAAAGTGAAGAAAAGGAGCTTAGAGATTGCAAAATTGAAAGATATGTTGCAAATAGAAGGGGAATTTTTTATTTTGTTATATCCTAAGGCTGGTAGCATCTTTAAAATTGACAAATTACTAACTGAAGGTGAAATTGTACCAGTCAGGCTGTTACCACCAAGATATAATATATGAAGCTTAGATAAGTTGCTGATTCCCCAAGGCATTTGTCCTGTAAATTCATTGTATGACAGTGCTATATCTCGAAGTTCAGTACATTTGGGTAAGCTAGTAGGAAGCTTGCCACCTAGCTGATTTCGTGCAATATGTAGCTCTTCAAGCTTTGAGAGATTGTTGCACATGTCTACTGGGAGAGTACCGGACAGCGTATTGTTGGTGAGGCCAATCCTTTGCAAAGAAGAAATGTTGAAAATGGTGGAAGGAATGAACCCTGAAATGCTATTGTTCCTGATGTATAGTACCTTCAGCTTGCGAAGATAACCTATGTCTGAAGGGATAGATCCTGTGAAATTGTTGTAAGAGAGATGCAGGACCTGAAGCTTAGATAAGTTGCCGATTCCCTGAGGCATTTGTCCCGTAAATTCATTGAATGATAGTGATATATCTCGAAGTTCCGTACATTTGGATAAGCTAGCAGGGAGCTTGCCACCTAGCTGATTCTGTGAAAGAACTGTGAATTCAAGCCTTGGATTTCGGTGACATAGACCCTTGGGCAGACCACCAGAGAGTTTATTGTAGGAGAGATCTAAATCCACAAGTGAAGAGATGTTGAAGATTGTATCAGGTAATTTACCTGCAACAAAAGCGAAGACAAGAAGCTTAGAGATTGTAAAATTGAAAGATATGATTTTAAATAGTTAGGAGTTATCATCAGAACTGAATGTGAAATTGTACCAGTCAGGCTGTTACCACCAAGATATAATAACTGAAGCTTAGACAAGTTCCCGATTCCCCAAGGTATTTGTCCTGTAAATTCATTGAATGAAAGTGATATTTCTTGAAGTTCAGTACACTTGGGTAAGCTAATGGGAAGCTTGCCACCTAGCCGATTCTGTGAAAGATACAGCCCTTGAAGCTTTGAGAGATTGTTGCACATGTCCATTGGGAGACTTGGAGACAGGTTATTATTAGAGAGTTCAATCCTTTGCAAAGAAGAAATGTTGAAGATGGTGGAAGGAATGAACCCTGAAATGTTGTTGTTACTAATGGCTAATATCTTCAGCTTGGGAAGATAGCCAATGTCTCTGGGGATAGATCCAGTGAAATAGTTGTCAGAGAGAAGCAAGAATTCAAGTTTGGTTAGAATTCTGAAACTAGTTGGAATTTTACCACTAAACTCATTGAAGCCAAAATTGATTGATTTTAGTCGACGCAAACGACCTAGTTCACCAGGGAGATGGCCATGAAAGCTGTTCTCACTGATATCAAAGAAACTGAGGAATGAGAGGTTGCCAACATCTTTGGGGATGGTACCTCTAAGACCCATATTTGAAAGATTCAAGGCTGTCACTCTTTGACGCCTACGGCTGCAAGCAACACCAACCCAATTGCAAAAGGAGGTACCTTTTGACCAATTTGTTGCCAAAACATTAGTAGGATCAATGGTAATATGAGCTTTGAAGGCTAGAAGTGCATACTCATCTGTGAAGCTGGTTGAAGTCACAGCCAGGCAACCCACAAATGAATATATCAGAAACAATAACAATATTACACCCATGACTGTAAAAGTAGTAAATATTGTTTGGTGTTGAGATAAAATTGTTAGAACTGAATTGGAATTTTAGTTCTGTCTAATTGTAAATTTATAGCAGTTCCGCATAACTAGAGTATCCTAGTAGTCTTTTTGGTTCAGTTTGTGGAATTTATTTGATCACCACTCAAATTATTTGTGACAGCAGTGCGTGAAAGTGATAGTCAATGTCATTGATGTAAGAGGGGAGTCTTTAACGTAATTTATACTTCGACATCCACAGCGATGAATTGGGACTGATTCTGTCAAATTGTAAATCAATGATTTGAAATTCCACAAAATTACAGTACTATTCTTTGTTCGATTGTGGAATTGATCCCAAATTCTTTATAGAATTCCAAAACCCATTATTTGGTCTCCTCAAAAGAAATGTGACCACAAAATTTGTGTGTGTGAAAATGATTGTCAATGCCAACAAAGTGGAATTCCTTCGTGTTGGAAAGGTTGTAAATGATTTTTTTTTTTTTTTTTTTTTTTTTTTTATGTCAAAGCAAACACACACCCATATTTTGCCCCCACTGGGTCCGGAACTCGAACTCTAGACTAGGGATTAGGAAGAGCTTATACCTTCTAGGCTATAGCAAGGAAAGTAGTATTTGACAGCAAATTGCAAGTAATATACTTCAATGTAGCTTTTGCCAAAGTCCGGACATTGACGCATCAAAACACTACCTGGAAAAGGTTTCCCCTAGTTAGAAAATTTTTCTATTCCATAAGATCTATTGTAATGTGTGAAAATGATGGTCAATGCCAATAAAGTGGAAAGACTTCATTTTGGAGAGGTTCGAAATGCCCTAGTTGATGTACGTGTGGACTCAAGAAAGTCATTGAGTCAATCTTTGGACTTTGGCAAAATTTCCAATCCCAAATCTAAAATATCGATTGGGTACTTTTGGACTTTGGTAAGATATTTGATAGAAATATCATAACTATCAATTGAGAAGCATTTTTTACACATTTTATCTTAGACGAAATTTTTGTGCACTGGTCAAGACCTTTGGTCACCGTTCTAACGTAAAGTCATCTTTCTTTGCATTGAATTGCATCTCCACACACACACACAAATAATAATCAATGGGCTAGTGGCCCAACAGTACCAAGTTCCTACCGTTCAAAGGGAGATTAAGGGTTCAAGCCTCACTGAAGGCATGGGTGTGTGATAACCAACTAAGAAAAAAAGAAAATATTTTTTGGATGATAAGTTTTATTTCAAAAACTTATAGGAGTTCAAACAATTAATTTGCAAATCGATAACTATAAAACCTAAACAGGGGAATTAATTATAGTTCTTCTATGAGAATATCCCGATTGGATCAGAATATCAGTTCATTTTTGTTAATTACCGTAAACTCTAATAGTTTAATATATTAGAGAAAGTTACTTCAATATTTAAATCCTTGGACAAATTGTTGATCAACGAGTTCCATGTAATTAACCACCAGATGGGCCAGCCCATGCCAAGAGAAGAGGACCAACAGCTGCTGGCCCAGTTTATCGAAAAGGAATGGGCCCATCGACCCAAGAGAGTCCCACTCCAAGCGGAAGCCTTTTCCTAGTAGAAAAGGGTTCAAAAAAGTCCCAAATAAAAGGTCTTTGTGAGCGTTGGATGTGAAAGTGCTATTTGACTAACAATATTACACCCATGACTGTAAAAGTAGTAATATTGTTTGGTGTCGAGATAAAATTTGGAGTTAGAACTGAATTGGAATTTTAGTTGTGTAATTGTAAATTTATAGCAGTTCCACATCACTACAGTATTCCTAATAGTCTTTTTGTCTCCTCAAGGAAATGTGATCACAAAATCTGTGTGTGTGAAAGTGATTGCCCATGCCAACAAAGTGGAATCCCTTCGCTTTGGAAAGGTTGTAAATGCCTTTCGTTGATATTTTTTTATTGTTTTTTTAATGTCAATGCAAACACACCTATTTTGTCCCAACCGGGACTCGAACACTATACTAGGGAGAGCTTATACCTTTGTCAGGAAAGTAATCTTTGACGCAACTTGCAAGTAATACTTTAATGTTAGCTTTTGCCAAAGTCCCAAAATTGACGCATCAAACACCACCTGGAAAGTTTCCACCTAGTTAGAATTTTTTTCTATTCCATAAGATTTATTGTAACTTGGTCATTGTAACCATCAATGAGCACAGTACATTTAAAGGAGGCTGTACATGTTAAAGTCTTTCTCCATTTTCTTGGCAACCAAACAATTTGGAATTCAAAGCTTTGTGTTTGTTTTCCTAGTCTTGTTCAGTGCTGAAACTTTGGACATTGGCAACATACTTGGAGTATTATTTTTGTTAGAAAGTATATGAACTATATTATTTTTGTATAACTCACTCTTCCCAGACCCATAACAGCAAGCATTATTTACCTTAAAAGTAACTGAACTATACCGTAGACAAATTGCTCGAAAATAAGTATTATGAGGTACATGTTTGAAACTTTTGGATGGACAAACTCCTAAAATAAAATACGTTTCTAATAATTTAATTTTTTTATTACTTCAAAATTATTTAATTGCATATATTGAATATTGTTACATAAAAGCTTTACTTTACTCTATTAAATAAAATAAAAGTATTTAATAATATGAATAGTTAGTAGTAAACATGTGTCTTTTCATTTGAGAATTTGAGACGTTTGATGTGTGGATACATACTTGAATTCACATAACATAGGAACTATCAATTGAGAAGCTATTAAGGCTATGAAGGTAAGATTGTGTATATTTTGCCCTTCATAAACCTCGTAATGACAGGTGCCTCATGCGTTGGTCTTGTCCTTTTGACACTGATTATGTCCTTCCGACAGTATTTTAATGCAAAGTCTTCACTTTGTTGACGATAACAGCACCATTGAGCCCTAAATTTATGTTTGGGATAATAATTTAATTTCAAACACGTTAAGGAGTTCAAACAATTGGTATGAGGCCTTTTGGGGTGAAACCCAAGAGCAAAACCGTGCGGGCTCAGGCCCAAAGCGGACAATATCATACCATGTGGTGGAGTGGGTCGTTACAAATGGTATCAGAACCTAACCCAGCCAGAAATATGCCGACGAGGACATCGGGCCTCCAAGGGGGGTGGATTGTGAAGACCTTGTGAGCGGGTGTGCCGTGGGCGAGTGCGAGAGACATTGTCAGGCTACCACACTGGCGAGCTATGGGTGCATAGTCCCACATCGCCTGGGGAGAGAAAAGGTGAAGTGCTTATATGTAAGTGTGTCACCTCCAATTAGTATGAGGCCTTTTGGGGTGAAACCCAAAAGCAAAACCGTGTGGGCTCAAGCCCAAAGCGAACAATATCATACCATGTGGTGGAGTGGGTCGTTACACAAGAGAATTGTCAAAATTCCAATTCAATAGTTGATTTATAGTTTCTCCTGATTTTTCAGCAAGCATATGAAGTTTGCAAACCATTCAAAAGTCAGCGGTGGATGATTCGGTATATTATAAAATATGAACTTCAATTCCAGATACCTAAAGCGTACTAGTAGTCTGTTTTGTTCAGTTGTTGAATTGATTTAAAATCTTTGGACTCCTAATGCAACTAAATTGATCATCACTTGAAACTGTGTGTTTACTCTGTGATTTCCCCATTGATAAGTGTGTGTGATAGTGATAGTCAATGAGTCAATGTCACTTATTTTGGAAATGATGGTCGTGTGAAAATGATGGTCAATGCCAATAAAGTGGAAAGACTTCATTTTGGAGAGGTTCGAAATGCTCCAAGTTGATGTATGTGTGGACTCAGGAAAGTCATTGCGGCAATCTTTGGACTCTGGCAAAAATTTCAATCCCAAATCTAAAATATCGGTTCTTTTGGACTTTGGTAAGATATTCTATAGAAATATCATAACTATCTATTGAGAATTATTTTTTATATAGTCTATATGAGTCTCTTCAGACCTAGTAACCACGGAATTCTCATGCAGTGATCAAGACTTTTCGTCACCGTTCTAACATAAAATCATCTTACTTTGTCTGCATTGATTTGCATCTCCACACACACAAACAATAATCGATGGAGGGACTATTGAGCCCTAAAACTTTAAACACCTTTGCACGGATCACATAAACAATGCAAATCAATCCTCTACCCCAACTACGTAGGCCTTTTCCTATCATCCTAATGGTATTTGAACCATGTCTCTAATACCAAATCTGTAATGACCCAAATTCGTAGATTCAGATCATTAACCGGATCCTTACCCGAACCCGAGGTCACACAAGGGTACTATGGCAATTTCCCATTAAAATGGTAATTCTAGAGTCCATAAGGGCATAATGGTCATTTACCGTGGTCAAATAATGTTTTAGAACCCAAAAGGGTGAAATAGTCATTTAGTACATTCATGTTGGCTTCTAGACTCATCAAGGGTAAAATTATCATTTTTTATTCTATGGTCAATGCTTTGGTCGAAGTCTGGGGGTAAATATGTGACTATACTGAAGTCTGGGTCAAAATCAAAATATTGGACCATATGTGCACACACTTGGCCTCAGATCATTATTCTAATGAAGTGAACAAGATGCAGGACCATCTGTGTGCACACATGAGAGGATCTGGGCATACACATGCCCATCTGTTCGCACACATAAGTGGATTTGTGCGCACAGATGGTGAATCAGGCCAAAATCACCTACTGCCTAGCCCATCTAACCGGCCCATCTAACCGTTTAAATCATGTCCCAAGTCCATGTGATCATACAAATCACCTCCCCTGCCTAATTGAATGCAATCCCAAACAACCAAGTATGAAAATAAACTCCACGGACCTCATTTAACATGAAAACATAGCATTAAATCATCAAAATAACATCTTACATCCATTATTTAGAATCAAATCTCTATATAAACATTCATACCTCTCTAGAACGATAGAATCATGGCCAAAGGAATATAATTACAAATCAAGGCCTCCATGGCCACAAATACAATGACTTCTCTTGATACTGGCAAAAGAATAAGGTCATTACATGGTTTCAAACATCTAAAAGAGTGCCTTTACTAAAAGATAACAAAAACGGTCATTGAAATGCAACTAAGCTTGCAGGGGTGCATCAT